TCCCAGGAGGTCACTGTGCTCCTTCTCTCCCTGACCCAGCATGGGTCCCCTCTTCCTGGAGGGCATTTGGCAAGTTTGCATTTTTTTCTTGTGTTGTTGACAAAAATCCTGTCTGGTTGAGAAATATCTGTGCAGCAGCGCCAGCCCAGTCCCACGGGTCAAATCCTACCCCTGCAAATCTGTGCCGGGAACAGCGGCTTGTTTTGGGCTGGCCTTTGGGGGTGCTGCCACGGGGGACCCATGTCCTTGCAGGGCAATCTGGGCACGAGGCCAGGAGCAAACTCCTTGAACAAATGGATGGACACTATGGGCTTGGGGTGGATCTGATGTTTTATCATTTGCTGGTTGGGCTCTGCAGCAGAAGCAAAGTGCTGGAAGTTCGTCAAGGGCTGAATTAAAGTTGCCTGGCAACCTCCATCCCGGCTCCTCTTCCCACATCTCGCAGGATTTCCCACCCAAGGTCTGCCGCCTCCAGGGAAGGGGGGCCCAAAATGCACCGCGCTCACACCAGGCTGGGGCCAGGCTTGTCTCCCTTCCCATAACTCACTGGCTGTTCCCATGCCCGGCAGCCCGGACCTCTCCCCACCTCACCATCCCCTGGGGCAGGTGCCTTTCCCCCAGCCTGCCCCAGGAACGGGCCAGGCTGTTTCAGCTGAACCTGAGAGCAACCTGAGTGGATCTCCTGGGGGGTGGGACAGTTCAGTGACAGTGGGAATGCGAGTGGCTGCAGGGGGATGTGCCAGGCTTGGCATCAGTGAGTAGAGTGGAATCGGCTGCATGGGGTTTGGAGTGCCCAGGCTCCAAAAAAAGCTAAGTGCAATTGGTGTCTTCTGGTGCGGTGCCTGGGGATTTTGTTAAGGCTGTTTTGCAGCTCCATAACCCAGAGAAGACCCACTGGAAATCCCTGTCTCCCACTGGGAAACTGGCAGTGCTTGCTTGTAGTCTGTGATGCCAAGGGGAACACCCCATGATGGAGGAGGAATGTCCAGCAGCCACTCTGGGAGCCTGCTTGGGCTTTACTAGATCTTGGTGGAACAACTATAAGGTGTCTAGGGAGGAGTGGGATGGGAAAGTGTCTTATCCCACTCCGCAAATCTGTCCTGCCATCCAGAATGGATGCTGAGGGTAAGCTGGAGAAGTGCTGCTCCCATGCACCTCTTCCTTTCTTTCTCCTGAGTTCCTTTGAAATTAAAAAGCTGGCATAATTTTTTTTTTGAGGAAACATCTATGGGGGGCCTGTGAGACCCTGTCTGTGGTCTCTCCCAGACCCTGTCTGTTTGGCAGCCCCACAGACACCACAGCTCCCTTGCAGTGCAGCTTGAAAACACCTTGTGCTCCCAGGTGTTGCTGCCTTGTGACTTTGAGGACCATGGGGCGCTGGGAAGGGGCTCCTATGCCCACAGAATGTCCTGCTGCAGTGGCTGTTGAGGTGTGTGCCAGCTTTGGCTTGTTTCTTTGGCCAGATCCAGGTTGGTGAGAGTGTGAAATTCACTCATCAAAAGCTTTCTGCTCCTCCGGAGACGCTGGTCATGGGGATTTTAAGGAGGTGCCAACTGGGCCAGCCCGTTTGGGTGTGCTGTGCCTGGCTGCCGGTGGGAGGCTGAGGCCAGCACAGTCATGCTCACACAGCTCCTGTGGTGACCCAATAAACCCAGTCAGACCTGACCGGGGCTCGCTCGCTGCCCTGTGTGCTCACCCACGTCTGCACGCCTCTGCTGCCCCGCTGCTTTCCTGCATTCCCCAGGGACCAGCAAACACATCCCACCGGTGAGAGACGGTACCTGGCTCTGGCTCCGTGCTGGGAGCTGTGGCTGAAGCCCGTAGGGGCACTGATAGCCAGCGGTAGGAGGGTGGGCTTTTACCTCTGTGGATGTTGCGCATTGTGAGTAGAGAAGTTGGTTCCTGGCTTCGCCCCTCTCGGGGTGTCCGTCAGTCCTGTGCCTGTGTCCTGCATCCACCGTGCTGCTTCTTCAGCATCACCAGCCAGCGACGGGAGCCTCAGTGGGAGTTGAGGCTGGACCATCAGGTCCTATGTTGGCCCCTCAGTGCTGGGAAGTAGGTGAGGTGCCAAGGGACTTGGGAGCTCATTCCTGGGGAATGGGGTGGGCTTTTCTGGGCAGTTTTTCTCTTAAACTCCTAGCTTTCTTGGAGCTGCTGCTGCTTTTTAGCTTCTTCATCTCTCCTTTTTGTTTCCCTTCCCTAGAGAAAACTCTGTGCGTTTCCATTCCCAGCTTTTTTCTATTTCTTGTTGAAGTGCTGGATTTGTGTAATCCATCTTCCCCCAGTCCTAGTGGTGAGTCCCATGGATCAAGTCCTCCTCTACTTCCTGCCTGAGCCCTCAGCTTCACTCTGAGCTTAGAACGTGCACCCTGACAAGGGGGAAGTGATGGGTTTGGGGGTGTTTGGTGTGGCTGCACACCCGGGTATTGACCTCAGGGTAGTAAAGGATTGTTTCAGTTCCTTCTTGCTTTTTCTCCCCAACTCTAGGTATGAAAAATAAGAACTAGAAAGTTAAAAAAAAAAATAGGGATTCTTGGAACAGCCCTTCTCCTTGAGTAAATATTAACTGGCTCTTACAACATAACTGACTAAATGTTCTTTAGGACAAAGTTACATCTGATCTCGGTCAAAGGAACCTTTGGAAATGGGCATAGCTGCTTCACTGGAAAAAGCGGAAGAGCCCAGCCCTGACAGCATGGGAGGCTGCTTCCCCCTGCCCAGCCAGGAACCCTGCACAACCTCCCAGTTTAATATATTTTTGTTTTCCCCCTGTACTGGCTCGGTGTGTATGATGGTTAATGTTAGCTGGGGCTGGCTCGCAGCACCATGCTGGCCCTGTGATAAACACCATCCCTGCCACCCTGGCCAGCCACACTCCCAGCTCCGCTCCCTGGCACATCAGGAGCCAAGCAGCAGGCAAAGTTCAGGGTTTGTTTGTGCAGGGGAGATAAGCTGAGGACGCCCAGGGCTGTTACTCATTTATGAGAGATCATTGTTTGCCTTGTCTTAAGGAGGTTTTTCCTCTACTCTGCTCTCCCATCCCAGGTGCAGCAGCTCTTGTGGCTTGTGCATGATTCCAGACTTGTGTCCCCATGTGGACACTTGGGGAAGGGTCCCTGTAACTTCCAGAGTGGTCCTGCTCCCACTGGTGGGATGGAGATGTGTCAGCATGGGACTGGCCAGGGTGCTTTGGTGCTCCAGGTGTGACCCCACCACTTGTTTTGCCCAAAGCTTGGTGGGTTTGGCTCATGCTAGACATGGTGCCACCAAAGCAAATTGTTTCTTCTTGATGTCTGTCTGCACTCACCTGCCTTGCATTGCTGTGCTGTCATTCATGTGCAGACCCTCTGTCTGTACAGGGCTTGTCCTGGAAACAGGAGTAAGCTGGAGCGAGCCTGCTCTGGGATCTGCTCCCCAGGGAGCTCAGCCCGGCATGCAGCACCCTACATAAACCCAGGGTTGGATGCTTTTGGGTGCTCTGTGCTGGTCTGGGGGGACAGTGGGGCAGCAGGGAGAAATATTTCCCATCTGCCTCATTCCCAGAATGCTCTCGGGCAGCCGCCAGTGCAGGTGTGAGGTTTGTGTCTGAAACCCCTTGAAGGAACCAGCACTTTGATGCAAGCTCCAGAACTATGGCTGAATCCACATCCGGCCCCTCACTTCTCCTTCTCAGCCCCAAAGCCCTCTTCACCTTGGTTTTACCTCCCTTCTTCTTGGGACTCAGCAAAGTATTTGCTTCAGGGAAATTGTTTGCAGTGAGCGTGTTTGAGCAAATTCTCTACAGGGTCAGGTATTTGGGCTTTTTATATATATATATATCTATATGTGGGTGTATATATGTATTTATAAACCTCTAAGCAAATACTTAGGTGCTGGTTGCTTACTGGGAGCTCTCCAGCTCAGAGATACCCAGTCATCTTTTTCCTCCTTAGTGCCTGCAAGATGAGCTAGTGGCTTTGCTCAGTGCAGCTGCGAGAGGTGGGGGTTATTTGTGAGGGATCGAATGCATGAAAGTGAGAGCTGAAGTAGATGTGGAGCTTCAAGGCAGCTTGGGATGAAAGAGAACCTGAAATCTTGTGGAAAAACACAGGAGGGAAAAATTGTTTCCGCTTGAAAAGATTTGCTGAAGATTCCAAGCAGTTCCTGTATGGATTTTCCTTCACCTTACATCCCTGAAGCATCCTTTCCAATGCCTCAGTCCTCTGGAGTCTCATCACTTCAGGGGGGGCAAAGCTGGGGCCAAGGACCATGTCCTTGCACAGCAGGACATGGTCAGCTGGGCTTTTGGGAAGGAGAGGAGACCTTGGGCTCCCCAGGACCCTCACTGTTGCCATTCCTGCTGCAGCCACTCTGGGGGTGCAGTGGGTCTTGGGGTACCCCTGTGTGCCAAGAGACCCACAGAGAGGCTTGGCCCTGAGCCCCTTTCTCTGCTTTTGAGGGAAAAATGTTTCTGCTTTTTGGATGTGATATACAATGGGGGGGATCAGCTGCCTCTGCTGAAACATATCCTTCGGTCAGGGGGATCTGCAGGAGCAAAAGGCTGGGGGTAAATGAGGGATGAACCCAGAGAAGACTTGAAGGAAAATGTACCTCCAAGCAGCTGACCCAAGTGCTCAGCAAGCAGCTCCCTGCTGTGACAGAATGGTTGCTGACCCAGGGGGATGCTGCAGAAGGTCACTGTACTCAAACTCCCCTCCATGCTCCGTGATGGCTGCAGGCTCCATGCCTTGTGCTATGCCTTGCTTTCCCCTTGAGCAAATGAGGGTTTGTTTTTCCCTGAAGCCATCCCTGGTCTGAGGCCGTGCTGGGTCAAGCATCCATGCGTGTGTGCAGCTGGCTCCTTCCCAAGCCTGCCTGCTTGTGAGGTGCTGGGACAGCAGGAGTGTCTGAGCCAGCACTCTGTGTTTCAGGAGGGTTTGGTGGCCAGCCCTGTCCCAGAGAGCTGGAGAGCCCGTGCTGAGGAGTGGCTGTGCCGGCCCGGCGGCTGAGAGAGCAGGAAGATGAGCGCAGGGCCGGCACATCTCCTGACAACTCTCTTCATGGCAGCGGCAGCCATGGGCTACCCGTCCCGGCGCTCTGCCACCGACCTGGATGCCACCCCCAGGACAACAGTCACCTTTGATGGTAAGGGGGTGTGGGTCCTGGTGGTGGCAGTGAGGTTTGGGATTTTGCTGGCAACTGGCCTTGGTGCATTGTGACTGCATCTAAGCTTTGCCACCCACCTGGAGCAAGGGGCTCAGCCTGGGAGAGTGGCTACATGGGGCCTCTGATCCCCTGGGCTCCAGAAATCAGAGCCCACATGGCTGTCTGGTATTGTGTGCCCCAAAGAAATGAGCATGGCAAAATCATCTCCCCAAAAGCCAGAAGGGGACGAGGATGTGCAGGCAACCAGCCCTGACCAACCCCTGGCCCTGCCCAGCAGCCCTTGGAGGGTGTCCTGAGCTGGCATCACACCTGGGCTGGGATCTCATGGCCCAAATTGTCAGCAGGAAACTTTCTTCCATGATTTTCTCTAAATGACACTGAGCTCTTGACCTCCAGCCTCTGTGGTGTCAGTGAGCCCAGCAGTGTCATTGTCCCTTGGTACAATGGGATCCACATGGCTTCATTGACCTCATTAGTGAGGCTCAACTCAGCAATTGATGGTGGGAGAGTTTCATTGTAGCTGGGGTGCCCTTTTCTCTCCAGGCAATGCCTATTTTCTGGGAAAAATGGGGAATCATTCCTTTTCCAGCTGCCCACAGGGTCCCAAGCTTCATAGAATTTTCACTTCCTGCTGGTCCCTCTGGCCAGGGCTGAGTCCTACCTCACACTTCTCAGCACCTCAAATTGGATGGTTTCATTGGCTTGGTGGATAGGAGCACTCAGCCTCACAGCAGAATCACTCCCCTTGTGTGACAGTTTTGGTTCAGGTTTTTTATCCTTCCCTGGGCTGGCTGGGCTCAGTTCAGAGACAGAGTCACTGCCAGCATGTTTCTGCTTTCTTCAGCAGTTTCCCAAACAACATGGCAGGTCCATGCCCAGCACCGACATTGCAGCTCCCACCCCTGAGCTGTGCTTTAATTAGCGGAGAGAAATTTCCTCTGTGACCTGAGGCCGATTAATGCCTTTTGCCTTTTACCAAACCTTCTCCTTTCCTTTCCTCCTGCTGTAACTGCTGTCACCCAGCACTGCCTGCCTGATAACCTCAGCAAGTGCCATCCCACCCACTTCCAGCTCCATTCTCTTGTCTTTTCCCAGTGGCTCGCGCTGTGCCTGCCCCGGGGTCCCCCTCAGCCCCCTGTTCCCTTTGCAGAGCTGTCGGGAGTCCGGCGCTTCACTGCACACACCCTCAACTACAGCACCCTGCTGCTGGAGGATGAGCGGGGCATCCTCTACGTGGGTGCCAGGGGAGCCATCTTCGCCCTCAACTCCAGCGACGTGGCCGACGGCTCCCACCACACGGTGAGCCACGCTGCCCAATCCCCATCCAAATCGTGGCCACTCTATCCCTGCTCAACCTCCCCCTCACCATCTCAGGTCCTACCTGGTGGTGATGTCCCCACGTCTGTCCCCAGGTCCCCTGTGGACACCTGGTCCTTCTCCCCAGCCAGGCAGCATGGGGACAGCGGTGGGAGACATACCCAAGCTCAGAGCTGCCTGTTTCAGGGACGCCCCAGCAGAATGAAGGGCAGGGAGGGAATCACACTCTTTTGCTCCCCCAGGGAAGGATATCCCAAAATCCTCCAGGCTCCTGCAGTGCTCTGGGATGTCTGCCCACTAATTGGGGTGTGGGACCACTCTTGCCCCAGGCTGGTGGGATGTGTGCAGGGTGCCATCTTGTGTTCTGAGCAACCATCCCTCCCTAAACAAATAAATAAGGATTTTATCATTTCTGATGGCTCTAATGAAAGCTGGAGGTTACAGTGACAGGGGGACCATGCAGTGATGGGGGTCATGCAGTAGCAGTCTCTCTTCCCCTTGCAGATCCACTGGGAAGCCTCCCCGGAGAAGCGGATGGACTGCCTGCAGAAGGGCAAAAACAACAAGGTAGAGCTGCTGGGTGGGTGCCAGGGAGGGGCTGCCCTCGCTTTTCCTGGTTTGTAACACCTGTCCTCCCCCTCTGCAGACCGAGTGCTTCAACCACGTGCGGTTCCTGCAGCGGCTGAACAGCACCCACCTCTATGCCTGCGGGACCTACGCCTTCCACCCGCTCTGCGCCGCCATCGTGAGTACGGCTCACCCACGGCTGCCCCTGTCCCTTGCCACTGTGTCACCCTGGAGAGGTGCAACCCCTGTCCTCTCCTACCATCTCCACCCACAGCCCCACTCCCTTTCTACCCCTGTCCCTGCCCCTGCTTGGCTCACTCCCAGGTGAGTGACTCCCAGGCTGGGGTGAGTAAGTTTGAGGATGTGGCCATCATGATGCAGATGCCATGAGTCCCCGGTCCAGCACTGGGATTGGACTCTGACCCCAAGCGAGGGCTGGGGATGGATCAGTGTCATGGAGGATGCATGTGGGCCCAGCAGGATGGGATGCACCAGCCCTGGACTTGGTCTCCACTGCCTGCTGTTGCAGAATACCCTCCCAGAGGAGGGGCTGCAGAGTGGCTGATCCAGGTGGTATGCATGCCCAGGGAAAGGTGACAGGGGCAGAACTGACTCAGCAGCCCCTCCCCAGGAACTTCCTGTGCTAGTCTGAGAGTCCACACATGGCTGTGACTCATGTGTCCAAGAGCAGCCTTGTTTTATTGGCAGTGGGACTTTGACCCCCTTTCAGTAGCTCCTTGAGTCAGTGGAGACTCAGTTGCCATTTGCCCACCTCTCTTTCTGAGCTGGGAGGCAAAGGGGCCCCGTGACCATGCCTGCAGTGTGGCCAGGGAGCCCTGGAGAGGCTGTGCCTGTTCCCATGGCTGTGCTGCTGGTCCGGTTTGGCCCTCGCACACACTGGAAATTGGGTGGAGGAGCTGCCAAGCTGGAAGGGCCCTGTCATTATTTAACATGCTTTGAACTGCAAACCCCAAAGAAAGTAACTCCTGCTATGACATGGACAGCACCTGGGGGGACTCCAGGCTGGCTGAGCAACATCTGCCAACCAGGCACTGCCTGGGAATATTGGCTGCACTGGCTGGCTCCTGCCCAGTGCCCATGCAAAGCCTAGCTGGGGCTCCTCTTCATCCCAGAGCCCTCTACCCACTCTTGGCTGGGGGCTGTGGCTGGCTGTGTGGTTCCTGACCAGCTGGAGGGTGCCAGGGGGGTTCTTCTTACTTGGACAAGGGCATGGCTATGGGCATCACTTTGTCCCTGCTAGCAGGCTCAGCAGAGAGCCTGAGGCCGGCAGGTGAGGTGGGTCTGTCCCCTCTTGTCTAACCTGATTCCCTGTCCCCCTCAAGGATGCTAACAGGTTCATGTTGCCGTCTCACTTTGAAGAAGGCAAGGAGAAGTGTCCATATGACCCTGCCCGTGGCTACACTGGGCTCATTGTGGGTAAGCAGCACCTTTCTGGGGCTGGTGGGGACATGCAGGATGCCACTGACCATGGCCCCATCCCCAACACCTCTCCAGGGGGTACCAGTGGTCCTCCCCCCAGTCGTTTGCCTGAGGTGTGGGGATGCTGGTGGCCTGTGGGCCTGTCCTCAGGCTGCAGGGCCATGCTGATGGGCACCTGCCCTGCACAGATGGAGGCTTGTACACAGCAACACGCTATGAGTTTCGGAGCCTCCCTGACATTCGGAGGAACCTGCACCAGCGGCCACTGAAAACAGAGGAGTCCCCACTGCACTGGCTGAATGGTGAGATGTCCCTGTCCCTCCCATCTCGAGGGCTGTGGCACACTGTGCATTGCCCTGGAGATTGTGGAGCAGGTGTGGAGGATGGCTCTGGAGTCCTGTGTGGTTTGCTATGAGAAGGAACTGAGGCAGGGAAGAATTCCCCATTCTGTGTTGGTCACCAATCACCACCTCTTGCTCCATGTTCCTAGACGCGGAGTTTGTGACCTCTGTGCTGGTCCAGGAGAGCAAGGACAGCCCTGTGGGTGATGATGACAAAATCTACTACTTCTTCATGGAGCGGGCAGGAGAGGAGACCACATCCTTCTTTGACAAGAGTCAGGTGGCCCGAGTGGCCCGGGTGGCCCGTGTTTGCAAGGTAGGCAAGCTCCCAGCCACAGCGAGCGAAGCACTGCTCCTGTTGGTGCAGGGGCAGCACGCCTCTGCCTGTGGGAAGACTGAGGCACAGGGAGAGGGGATTGAGCAACTGTCCAGCTTGTGCAGATATGCTCTCTGCACCCTCCCAGAGTGATGTGGGGGGGAAGAAGATTCTGCAGCGCAAGTGGACGTCCTTCATGAAGGCACGCCTGGTCTGCTACATCCCCTACTACGAGGTGCTGCGCAGTGTCTGCAGCCTGGACGGGGGCGGCTGGGCCAGCACTGTCTTCTATGCTGCCTTCGCACTCTCAGCACAGTGGTGAGTGGGGAAGCGGCCAAAAGCATTGGGGCTAAAAGTCTGCAGCACCAGGGGAGCCAGGGGATGTGCAGGCAGGTGCTGAGCACCTGGGGGTGCATTTGTTGGGAGCACCCACATATCTGCCCAGGCTTAGGCGAGGTTCTGCTTCTCAGGAGGACCATGGAGGCCTCGGCTGTGTGCCGCTACAACATCTCGGCGGTGCAGCGTGCCTTTGAGGGCCCCTACATGGAGTACCAGGACTGGGCTCGCAAATGGTCCCGCTACGACGGTGCAGTGCCCGAGCCCCGGCCCGGCTCCGTGAGTGCCTAGGAGTGCAGAGCAGGGGTGGCAGGGGGCAGCTGCCTTCCTCTCTGACCCCTGTTTCCCCTGGGCAGTGCATCACGGACCACTCCCGCAGGAAGGGCTACAACTCCTCGCAGGACCTGCCCAACAGTGTCCTGGACTTTGTCAAGCTGCACCCACTCATGTTTGAGGAGGTGAAGCCAGCTGATGGGGAGCCGCTCCTGGTGAAGAAGAACGTGGTGTACAGCCAGCTGGCTGTAGACAGGGTGCAGGCCCTGGATGGTCGCTCCTACGATGTGCTCTTCATGGGGACAGGTGAGTGTGAGATGAGTTTGATAGGCCTCTGCTGGGCAAAGGCCACACCTCACATTCCCTCCTGAATCCCCTGCTCTGCTCTCCAGGGGATGGCTGGATCCACAAGGCTGTGGTGGTGAACTCTGGCATCCACATTGTGGAGGAGGTGCAGGTGTTCAGGGACCTGCAGCCTGTGGAGAGCCTGGTGATCTCCCACATCCAGGTGAGGGGTGGAACAATTAGGGGGAGACTACACATGGGGCATGCTTGTGTTGTGAAGCTGCCATTGTGCTGTTTGGGGCATTGTGGGGACATGACTCCTGGGTCACCCCAGTTCGGAATATGTGCTGGAGCCCAGGAGGGTAGCTTGGGGAAATGAACCAGCCTGGCCATCAGCACTCACTGGGAGCTAGGGGCTCTTCTCATGCACACCCACGAAGGGAGAGCTGTGCTGTGGGGCTCGGGAGGATCTCTGGGCACCATGGTGCACTCCACAGCCCAGCAGCATCATGCCAGATCCATACTGAGCCAGCCCTTTCCCCCTCAGAGGAGCCTGTACGTGGGGGCAGCCAGCGGGATCGTGCAGGTGCCCCTGGCCTCCTGTGCCAAATACTCCTCCTGCTATGACTGCATCCTTGCCCGGGACCCCTACTGTGCCTGGGATGGCAGGGCATGCCGCGCCATCGCCACCACACACAGGTAGGGATGGGCTGCCCATCTGCAGATGGGTCCCCATGAACCTTCCACTTGCCCCATCCCATGCTGTTTCACGTCACCCCAGAGCCAACCCCAAAGGTCTGGCATCTGACAGTGGGTCTCCTGGTGGCCGTGACCCCCATAAGGGTGGGTTCAGCTGAGGCTGTATGGCTGACCCCCCATGCCTTGCAGCACAGGGCTGGTGCAGGACATTCAAAGTGGCAACAAGGGATGCCGGAGCAGCTCTGGACGGGGTGAGTCTCTCCTGCCCTTTGGGACCACAAGGATGCTGGTGCCCAGCATCCCTTAGAATAGCTGGGAGAGGTGCAAGGCAGTGCGTGTCCCCACAGGCTCCCTGCTGTGGAAAAACCGGACGGTGCTGCAGGGGGACGATGTGCTGCTGCCCTGTGACCAGCGCTCCAACCTGGCCCGAGCCGTGTGGCTGCTGAACGGCAGCGAAGTGCTGGGCATGGGGCAGGACCGGCTGCGCGTGGGGGTGGATGGGCTGCTGGTGACGGACACGCTGCCCCAGTACAGCGGCGAGTACCGCTGCTACGGCGAGGAGCAGGGTCTCCGGACACTGTTGGCTACCTACAGCCTCTCCGTGCTGCCCGAGCTGCCCCGCAGCCCTACAGCTGCCCCATCACCCCATGCCTCCAGCCAGACGACCAATGACATGAAGGTGGTTTACATTTCTGCCATCGTCACTTTGGTGGTGCTCTGCACTGTGCTCAGCATCATCCTCCTGTACGTGTCCTGCCTGGAGAAGCGCAAGGGCAAGTATGTGCTAGGGGAGCCGCGGCCAGCCAGCGTGGAGCTGCAGACCGTCTCGGCCAACTGCCTGCGCAAGGGCCACCGGGAGGAGGAGGAGGAAGAGCTCACCTACCCCGACGGCTGCCTGCGGATCATCCCCGGCGAGGCGCCCACGGCTGCCACCTCCCCAGTCAAGGAGCTGCCGGCTGCTGTGCCCCCACTGCCACCCCCGCTGCCAGCCGAGCTCACCAATGGCGTGGGGGCTCTGCCCAACGTCCTGCGGAAGATGAACGGCAACAGCTACATGTTGCTGCAGCAGCAGGAGGAGCCACTGGCCTCTCCGCTCTACAACGCGTCCTTCACCGAGGAGCTCAACAAAATCCTGGAGAAGCGAAAACACACGCAACTGGTGGAAAAGCTGGATGAGAGCTCTGTGTAGGGGCTGGGGAGGGGGGTCCTGCCAGTGGGGCCCTCCTCCCCTCCAGCCCCTTCTCCCACCCTTTGCCAGCAGTGTTACAAGTCTCAGGCAAAACTACCTCCTTGATGGCAGAGCTGGGCCGGGCCCAGGGTCAGCCAATTTCCTTTGGCTTCTCATTCACTTCTGAGACTTGCTGTACAGAAAAAAAGGAAGAAGTATCTATTTAAATTTGGAGCTCTATTTATGTATAAAAACTCACTGACAGTGGCCACGAGCTGGAGACAGGAGCTGGCACCTGGCTGAAGGTGGACACCATGGGGAGGGAGAGTTTTTGTCTGTTCACCCAGGCATGAGAGAGACGCTGTTGTGGATGTGTGGACTTGGCCAGCCCTGCTGGGTGTCCCTTGGCACACAGGAGCTGGATAGCTGCTGAGAGGTGGGTGAAGAGCATGGAGGGGGGCTGAGAGCTGACATACTGTGCCTGTGCCTCTCACAGGGCACAGGATCCCTTGCTGATGGAGGGCTGGTGGGTTTTTCCCAGCTGCCAGCCCTCAGGCAGGAGAGGGGCCCTGGACACATCTCACATTGTGAGGGGTGGTCTCAGTGGCTTCCAGCCCCTATCTGCTGTTCTGCATCTGCTCCCTCAGGGTTTCCTCTCTGGGAGAGGATGGTTTGGCAAGGCACAAGAGATAGGGCGAGGAGCTGATGTCCTGAATACCCTGGAGCAGCTGGTGAAGGGGCACGTGCCCACTGCAGAGGCCACAGGTGAAATACGGGGCTGGGTGCACTGGGAAGGTGGCGCCCCCAGGGCCTCCAACCCTGACAGGGCTCTGCTCCCTTTTCCCAGGGCACTGGATGCAGCAGCAGGCAGCAAAATGCACTAGCAGCAGGACTGGGAGCCACCACCGTGCCCTACAGCATGACAAGGGACCAGCACATCATCCACATACCCCTGATGTCTGCAGTGCCCCTGTGGCTCCAAGCACAACATGTTTCTGCCCTCCTGTGCAGTGCCGTTGGTGAACTGGAGTTCAGGCACAGCCCTGCCACCCGTGGGGAAATGCATGGGCAGGGAAATATCCTCACATAGTGAGGAAGAAGAATCTTGGACAAGGGCCTGCCTCCCTGTGGAGCCTTCTCTTCATGGCACTTTCCAGGAGCAGCCATGGTCCCTAAATCCTCATAACTGTTTCTGCAACTGCCACCTCCTGGGGACTGAGAGATGGGGGTGACAAAAGCATCTCATGCTCCAGGGACAGTGTGGTGACACTGGAGAAACTGGGGAGGGACACGCCTGTGGGGGGTCCATGTCCTCCCCCATGTTCCTTGCTCATACCTCCATGATCAGGACATGGTCAAGGGCTCAGCCCTGCAGGGGAAACAGGAGATGGGTGACAACCCCCAGAGTCTCTCACAAGCTGCAGCTCAGGCCTCCTATTCCAGGAGAGTGAGGCTTAGCAGGAAAAGGCAAGAGTTGCACACTCTGCCACCCTGCCCCAGCCCTTGTTTTTGCTGCAAGAAGGGGGCGTGAGCCACCCCCAAGGACTACCCCAAGGACCACCTGCAACCCTCCAAGGAGGGGCATTGCTCTGTGTCTGGCACTCCTCATGCACAGCTCCACATTCCCCCTGCAATAAAAATGGCTCTGTCTGGACGTGGTGTAGCAGTGTTCCTCCAAAGGCAGGAGAAATGGATGCAGAGACGTGGGGGTGGAGGAGGCTTTATTCGGGCTGCAGGCGTGGGCCCTGGACGGTGAGGACGGAAGGTTTGTTGGTGAGGGGATGCCACTGGCCCTGGATGCTGGGGTTGTCAGTGTGGAAGGGCTTGCGGATGCGGATGATGTCCAGGCCGGACTGGTTGGCCAGCTTGGTGGCCAGCTGCACGATCTCCTCACTCGTCTTGCTGGCAATGAGTTCGTCCCGCACCGTCCCGTTCACTGCAGCGGAGTGAGGGGTTCAGGCCGTGATCCCCTCACTCCACAGCCTCCGGGGGGGCAGCTGCTGCTCCCCCATCCCGCAGCAGCTGCCCTGGCACCATCTGTGCCGGGCAGAGGTGGTACAGAGCCGGGGCAGGGCAGGGAGACCCACCCCCCGTCCCCTCCCCAAGCCCCCCAGCACTCACAGTACTCGACCCGCAGTACCGGGGCCGGGCCCGGGCCCGCGTGGGGGCTCACGTAGAGGACGACATCGGGGTGCTGCCGGGCGAAGTCCTGTGCCGCCTCCTCCACGAACTGCCTGGGGGCCAGAGGGGACCCTCAGCCCCAGCCGAGCCAGAGAAGGGACGAATCGCCACAACCGCCAGACATGGGTCACCGTCCGCCCGTGCCGGGCCCACGGGAGGGGTCACAGCGTAGAATTTGGAGTGATGTCCCCTGTGCCGCCTTCCAGCTCCTGCCCCGTCTCGCAGGAGGCTGGGGGTCCCACCCCGCCGCTGCCCCCCGTGCGATCAGCGGCAGCAGCACTGTCCCTTCCCCACGCTGACAGGCCCAGGGAAGACCCATCCTGCCACTTCAGGGGTCAGCAGGCTCCCCCCGCCCCATCCCCGGCAGTCGGGTGGTGCCTCCGGCGGTACCTGGCGCCGCGGGCGTCAGCCGCGGTGGGGCTGAAGAGGAGCTGCAGGCGCTGGAGCTGCCGCACGTACCGGCCCACGCCGTTGTGCAGCACGGCGGTCAGGAACCGGCTGGGCGACCCGCGGCCTGTCATGGCTCCGCGCTCACCCGGAGCCGGAACTGGCGGCAGGGGCGGGACGGGCAGCCCCGACCGCGCCGGGAAGTGACGCGCAGGGAGCGGGAGCGGCAATGGCGGTGTCCGTGCGGACCCACGTGGGGGCTGCGGCCTGAGCGGCTCGGCGGGGCCGGGGGCCGCGGGGCAGCCGCCCATGCGGAGCGGCGGCGGCGCGGGCGGGTGCCGGGGCGGTCGGGATGGCGCTGGTGCCCCTGCGGCCCGGGAGAGCCGCCAGCCGCCTCCTGCCGCTGCTGTGCGGGGGGGCCAGGAGCAAGGGAGCCTCGCTGAGCCCCGGGGCGCCGGGCCGCCTCGGGCAGCGACGCTACAAGAAGGGCGTGCTGCCCTCCCCCGACGGGCCCGCGCCCTCCGTCTCCATCACTGAGATCCGCCAGTACCTGCGGGCGCAGGACATCCCCTTCCACGATGGGTACAGCTGCCTGCACACCCCCAGCCTCTTCACCGGCGACCGCGGGGACCAGCCGCTGTCCGCCAATGCCCCGTTCACGCTTTTCATTGACAAGACCACGGGCAGCTTCCTGTGCACAGCCACCCTGGCCGAGGGCACCTGGCAGGACTTCCAGGCTAACGTGGAAATGCGGCACCATGGCGTTACCCCCATTCCCCCTGCCAGCTCGGAGGAGACGGAGGAGGAAATGCGACAGGCTCGAGAGGATGCCCGCTGCATCTGGGAACGGGCTCTGCCGCTCTGGGAGCTGCTGGATGAGAAGGAGACCAAGGAGACCAAGGCTTTGTTTGGTATCTCCCAGGTGACAGATGCCACCTTGAAACGCTTCGGTGTGCGTTATCTGAGGGCTGCCAGGTCTCTCGTCTTCCCCTGGTTCAGTCCTCAAGATGCAACCCTGAAGGGCGTGAAACTCCTGAGGGTGGAGAAAAAGGGGGGCACAAAAACTTACGTGGAAGAGACTTTACCCCGCTTCGATTCCTATCGCAATCTTTTTGGGCTGCCCCTGATTGGCCGCCGAGACACAGAGCTAGTCTTAACCGGCTGGGAGCTGGATGCCCTGGCCCTGCACCAAGCTGCAGGAGTGGCCAGCCTGGCCCTGCCACGGGGGGCTAGCTCCCTGCCTCCCACCCTTCTTCCTTACCTGGAGCAGTTCAAGCGCATCACGCTGTGGCTCGGCGAGGACTTGCGCTCCTGGGAAGCTGCCAAGCTCTTTGCTCGCAAGCTGAGCCTCAAGCGCTGCTCTCTGGTGCGCCCTGGCAACCTGCAGCCCCGGCCCTTGGAGGCTCTGAACCAGGGCCTGAACGTCACCAAAATCCTGCGTTCTGCCTTGCTTGCCAGCCACAAATCCATCATCTCCTTCCGGCAACTGCGCGAGGAGGTGTTTGGGGAGCTGGTGAACACCGAGCAGGTGTCTGGCGTCAAGTGGACACGTTTCCCCGAGCTCAACAAGCTCCTCAAAGGGCACCGCAAAGGGGAGCTCACCATCTTCACAGGTAATGGGAGTAGCGACTGGTGGACAGGGCAAGCAGAGGGGTGTTTGGTGGCTTCACCCTCCTGGGGGTGGTGCTTCACGAGTCTTCCAGGTCTCTTTCTGCTCAAGGCTTTTGCTGAGCCTGTCTTTCGGGTGTGTGAGAGGCTGGGGTGCATTCCTCAGTTCGGTGGGACCGTGCATGCCAGTGTGTTGAAGGGCTCCCTGCCTGGGGCAGTGTAGGAAGTCCTGGGCTGTCCCTTACCCCTGCTTCCAGCTGCCACCCTGAGCCCTCCCTGTGCTCACCCCACTGGCTGCCCAGCCCTTCACAGGGACCTGTGGGGACCCATAAGCTGTGGAAGCCTGTGCCCAAGCACCCAGGTGTGTAGTGTGGCACAAGAAGTTTGTTTATGGTCTGAGTGCTTCAGATGGGCTTCTCTTACCCTAGTCCCTGGTGCTTCCACCTCTAAACAACCCCCCAACACGGTCAGGATGGGTCAGATCATCTCCCCCAGCTAATTCTCCTGTTGTTGTCTGTGTACCAGGCCCAACGGGCAGTGGGAAGACCACGTTTATCAGCGAGTATGCACTGGACCTGTGCATGCAGGGCGTGTGCACACTGTGGGGCAGCTTTGAGATCAACAATGTCCGTCTGGCCAAAATCATGCTGACACAGTTTGCTGGCCGGCGCCTGGAGGACCAGCTGGAACTGTACGATGAGTGGGCTGATCGCTTCGAGGAACTCCCGCTCTACTTCATGACCTTCCATGGCCAGCAGAACATCAAGTATGGTCCTGCACCTCCATTCCCAGTGGCATTTACCCCTCATGGCATGTGCTGCAGGGCCCTGGGGAGCTGGGGCTCTTCCCCCTCAGTTACTCACGGATTTGGGGCTGGCAGGAGTGACATTGGGACTGTTCAAGTCCCAGGGTTGCTGTGTGGGGACTGTGTGGCCAACCACCTGTGTTCCTCCTGTCATGGTGACTCTCACAGACTCTCTCTGGGGTGGGGGTAAAGGAGGGGACTTGATCCCATGTGCTCTGAAGCCAGCCTGTGCCCATGGCAGGACATGTCCCCTCACACCCTGCTTACCTGCGGTGCTGTTGTTTGCTGAAGAGGGAGGACAGGCATCTCCAACCCCTTTTATTCATCAGGCACTGTGCACCTGCATGCATCCCTATGTGCCCTGAGGATCCCTGTGGGCTGGGGGCATTGCAGGGCAGTAGGCAGGGACTGTGTGGGCAGCACTGGGTCCTTCTGATCCCACCTACCTTTACCTGGGGGATGGGGCTGCACCTGCTATACAGTGGGGGAGGTGCAGAGGTGAGATGTGCCCACATCCCATCAGGACCTGGTGCCTTCCAGCTCTTTCTCTACATCCCTTTGCCTGGCTCAGCGTTCCCATCCCTACCTCCACTAATTCCTGGGGCTGATCCTGATCTCCTCTGCTCAGGACAGTGATTGACACCATGCAGCACGCAGTCTACATGTACGACATCACCCACGTGGTTGTTGACAATCTCCAGTTCATGATGGGACACGAGCACCTCTCTGTGGACAGGTAGTCCTTCTTCAGTTGGACCCTTCCTTCCTCTGTCACCCTCACTGCTGGAGCTGTCCCTGTCAGGTGTCACGCCAGGGCGTGGGGTTCTGCACAGGGTGTCACCTTTACTCCTCTCTGGCCACCCTGTTTCATTAAAGGGCAACCAGTGCCCTAGGGAGGAAGAGGTGGGAAGGGGTGAGCAGGTCACCATCCATCCCTGCCATACCACATCCCTCTTCCCGTGTGGGCTTGTTTGCCTCACGTTCCTGGGTGGTTTCTGCTGTGGGGATCAGCACCTTGCTGCCTTCTGCCACTGAGCAATGCCAGCCCCTGACCCCATTCTTGCTGCTGTGGCAGGCTCGCTGCCCAGGACTTCATCGTTGGTGCCTTCCGCAAGTTTGCCACGGACAACACGTGCCACATCACCCTGATCATCCATCCTCGCAAGGAGGATGATGAGAAGGAGCTGCAGACAGCCTCCATCTTTGGCTCTGCCAAGGTGAGCTGGCCCTTCCTTGGGCACAGTGTATTCCCAGGAAGGGGCTAGGATATGTTGGGCAGTCGTCCTCAGCTGCCATCAGTGCCTTGGATCATCACTGGGGACTTGAAAGGTGTGGGATGTCTCCCAGAGTCCTGATGCAGGCAGAGAGCAAACCCATTGTCAGCTAAAGCTCTGTTGGGGCTTTAGGTGCATTTAATTAATACTGACTGTGGGTGGAATGTAGTAGGAGATAATTAAAGAGGGAGGCAGGGAGGGTGTGGGGACGGGCTCTGAGTATTCCAGTCTCTTCCGTGATGCTGACCAGCCCTGCAGTTGTGGGCAGGAGGTGCTCTCTGTGCACAACCCTCCAGTGATCCCATTTCCCCACGGTGGGCTGTGGCACAGGATGTGCTTGGTGGGTCACTGGCCATTCCAGGGGAACACAAGTGGTTGGTGCTGGGGAAATGCTGGAGT